CCCCCACCCTACCCAACCCCAGGTCATTGTCGATAAGAACCCCCACATCACCACTGTCGTGAACAAGCTGGGCTCCATTGAAAATGAGTACAGGGTCTTTGACATGGAGGTGCGCGCCCTGGGGCTGGGGGGAGGGCAAAGGGACCACGGCTGGCCGCTCCGCAGGCGAGGAAGAGATTGGGCGAGCAGGGACCGCAGAGGGTGTCGAGGGCATTCGGTATTGAAGGCGAGTGTGCACTTTCCGCGCGCGGGCAGGAGGAGGCCGCACTGGGAGGGGGTGCTGGATGCCCGCGTGGCGCGGCCGGGGGCGCCGGCTTTCGGCGAATGCGTGCAGCGGGTGTGCATGAGATGGATCTTCACACCAGTGCCTCCGATTCTGTTGTCTTGTTGTGCTTGCAGGTGCTGGCGGGGGACCCCAACCTGGAGGCCGAGGTGGTGCAGCACGGGCAGCGCTTCAGGCTCGACTTCTCAAAGGTGCGTGGTGATGCCTGATGACATCACTTCGGTGGCCGCCTCTGGACGCGTGCGGCGGGCCTCAATGCTTCGAGTTTCGGGAAGGGTGGGCGGCAAAGCGGGTTGCAGGATCACGGGGCGGCTTGGCATATCTGGGCTCTGCTCAAAGCCGTGGCCCTGAGGTTAAAAGTGCCTGGCTACCGATCCACAATAGAAACCAACCGCAAGGAGCTGTTGTGGCCCTGGCCCGGCGTCACCACGCGCCCGCCCTGCCGCAGGTGTACTGGAACTCGCGGCTAGAGGCGGAGCACACGCGCCTGGTGCAGCTGTTCGACCCGCATGACATCATCGCTGACGTCATGGCGGGCATCGGGCCGTTTGCGGTGCCGGCAGGCATGCGGGGCTGCACGGTGCGTGCGGGCTGCCGCATGCTGTGTGATGGGGCACGCCCGCATCGATCGCGTGGTCGGCGGCGATATCCAGCCGGCTGAATACCACATATTGGACTCATCCCGTCTCAGGTTCACCCTAGCCCTGCACCTGCTGTCACGCACATTACGCTGCCCCTGGGCACATGCCTGCGTGCACGGTCAGCGCCGTGCCCATCGCCCCTGCCGTACGTCCCCATACTCACGCGCACCCCGCTGCCCCTGACTGGCCTCACAGGTCTATGCAAATGACCTCAACCCCAACAGCGCCCGCTACCTGGCGACCAACATCCGCATCAACCGCCTGGCCGGCCGCGTGCTGCCCTTCAATATGGACGGCCGCGAGTTTGTGCGGCTGCTGTGCGCCACGCCAGGCGGCGCGGCGGAGCGGCTGCGGGAGGCGGGCGGCGGGGACGCCGCAGACGGGCAGGCCGCAGACCAGCAGCAGCAGCAACAGCAGCAACAGCAGCAGCAACAGCAGCAACAGCAGCAGCAGCAGCAGCAGCAGCAGCAGCAGGAGCAGGCCGACCAGCCGGGCCAGCCGCGTTGCGCGCCCCGGCCGCCCAGAGCCGCCGCCGCCGCCGCGGCGGCAGACGGCCCGCCACCGCCGTCGCCGCCGGGCTGGGCGCCGCCGCGCGGGGGCGTGTTGTTCCAGCACGCGGTGATGAACCTGCCGGCGTCGGCTGTGGAGTTCCTTGACGCTTTCAGGGGTGCCTTTGACCCCGAAACCTGGCGGGGGCGGCTGCCCATGGTGCACTGCTACACCTTCATGAAGGGCGAGGGGGAGGCAGGTGGGTCTGGGAAAGAAGGGGGCGCCGGGGCAGCCCCTGCGCGGTTCGCCAAGTGGCAGCGTTTACGCGAGGGGTCGCAGTGGCTGGGCCGGGCTGGGCTGGGCAAATGAGCAGGGCGAGGTAGCGGAAGGTGCGTTTGGTGCAGGCTGCTGCGAAGGTGGACAGCCCAGACTGCTACTGGGGGGTGTCTCCAGCACCCTGCTGGCACCACCTAGGCTGGGGCCTGCTGTAAGGGCATCACTCCCAGCGTGTTTATTCCACCCGCAACGCCCTTTAATCGCCCCCATCGCTTTCACGCGGCGGTGCCCCCAGGTGTCATCGCGCGCGTCGAGGCTGCGCTCGGCGGCCCACTGGACGCGCCGCCGTCGATCCACAACGTGCGGGACGTGGCCCCCAACAAGCTGATGCTGTGCGTCAGCTTCAGGGTGCCCGAGGCCGTCGCGTTCGCCGGCAGGGAGGGCGGCGGCGGCAGCGGCAGCGGCGCGACAGAGCAGCAGGGGGCGGGCGCCGCGGCGGGCGGGGATCAGCAGGGGGAGCAGCAGCAGGCAAAGAAGCAGCGGGTAGATCTTTGACGGCGGCGCGCCGCGTCTGCTGTGTTTGACGTACATTCTCATGAGTAATGGCTCATGGTCACCTCTTTACAATCCCAGCTTTCAGACACAGTCCTACCACAGCATGCCCCTTAGTAAACAGGTGGAGCCATGCAACAAAAAACAGGTCATGCTACACAGGCAGCCAGTGACAATTGCAAAGACAACAGCTCAGCAGCCTGCACCAGCGGACCCCCCTGCCGACGGCCGTCGCGAGCGCGGCGCACAGCAGCAGCAGGGTGGGAAGAACGCGCCCCGCCCGCCGTGCCGCTGCCTGTTGGCTGACCTGCTGTTGCCCTGCAGATACTACAGCCCGCGGACCCCCTGAAATTGCTGCTCGGATCGAACCCCTCACAGCTTGACGCTCAAAGCCACGACCGCTGCCGCCACCATTTGCAAAGCTGGCCCGCGGCGGCCGCTGCTCTCTTGCTGCTGCTGCTGCTGCTGCTGCTCACGCGGCGCCCCTGCGGCTGCTGCCGCGCTGAGATATCCTCCTGGTGCCGGCGGGGTGGGCCGTCTCTGCGTCGCTGTCTAGGGCCGAGGGCGCCTCGTTCACGGGGCCAAGGTTCGAAGTGCCTGCGATGAGCAATGTTTAGCGAGCGCGCATGTGTTTATATGTGTGTATGCGCGCGCAAGTGTGTGTATGCGCGCACATTTGCACGCACACGCGCGCGCACGTGTGTGGTGGGGGGCCGGGCGCATGGGCGTGGATAATTGTGCAGTTTTGGCAAAACATGGCGGTGGCTCGTTTTGCAAAAGCGTACCCAGCGCTACATCATCCACTCGCCCGCCTCCCCCGCACCGGCAATCCGCGCACTCTGGCGCCGCCGCCCCAGCCCCAGGCTCGCGCTCGGCTCAGGGCTCGCTTCGCGCGACGCCGTCGCGTCCCCCCGCTCCTCCACGGTGGCCCCCCGCCCGCGCGCCGGCGCAGCCCTGCTGCGCCGCTGCGCCGGCGCCGCTGCGGCGGCTGCAGTGGCCGAGGCGCGGCCGCGGCGCTGGGGGCGGCGGAGCTCTGAAGGAGGCGCGTCGCCTGCCTCTTCGTCTTCCGTTGCCAGATCCCACTCGGCCGCCAGCGGGGGCTTGGGCGCCTGGAGGGTTGAGGGTCAAGGGCGCGGCATCAGGGATGTGCGCAGGTCCAACGGCCAATCTGGTTAGGCTGGCAAGACTGCACTGCAATATTTGGAGGGGCCAGATCAGGCCAAACCCACCTTGAGCCGCGGCGTCAGCACCCGCGCCCCAGCGGCGGCCGCCAACGC